ACCCTTGGGGTTGGGCTTTGGGGTGCACTAATTAATTGATAATTAATTATAATTAATATATATATAATTAATTATCAAAAGATGGGCCTTGGGCCTTGGGGCTCAGGCTCTAATAATTAAATTATTTAATTAATTATTTTAGGATTTAATTAATTATTTTTAATTAATTTCAAATTTAATTAATTATGTCTTTTTTACCAACAGACTCATCCTTTCAAATGAAATCTGAAGAGTTCAGAAAGAACACAGAGCAAAGCACCCCTTTGGAGAAGATGTCTCCCAATAGACACATCCTATTCTCATACCTGTTGCAAACAGACATCCTTCTATTATATATACATCCATTTGCATGTCATTTAGGATACAGAAAATCAATATTCTTCTTCTACAATCACAAACATCCTTTCTGAGAGAACCACATAGAAGTTCGCCAGAAGTTAAGTTTTCCGGTGCTGGAATTCTAACTTGATCATTGAGTCATGGTGAAGTAGACATCTGTAGAACTACAAGCACTGAGTAGGGACAAAATTTCTGTTTCAAGGACATTGCGGTTCGTAAGCCTCGATCTTCAATTTTCTGTTTAAAATTATTTTGTTGTTCATACTCTGTTCAATATTTATTTGTATTTATTATTTATTAACATATATAAGTTTATCATAGATTGTTGACATATATCCAACAATCTTGAAACAGAAACTTATGGATCAACAATCTGTAAATGTGAATGGCATTGTGCCAAAATACTCTTAAAAGCCTGAGAAGTTTAAAGGGCTAGACTTCAAGAGATGGCAATAGAAGATGTTGTTCTTCCTGATAACAATGAATCTCGCTCATGTTGGCAAGGAAGAAGCTCCGAAGTCTAATGAGAATCCAATGACGAAGGAGACTATCATGGTAATTGAAGCTTGGAATCATTCCGAGTTTTGTTGCAGGAATTATATTCTAAATAGTTTGGATGACAATCTCTACGACATTTATTCTCTGTACAAGACAGCAAAGGAGTTGTGGGAATCCCTGGAGAAAAAGTATAAGATTGATGATGCCTGTTCAAAGAAATTTGTTATCGGTAAGTTCCTCAAATATACAATGGTGGATTCAAAATCTGTTGTCTCTCAAGTCGAAGAAATCCAGAAATTGATCTATGAACTGCACTCCAAGGGATGCAAGATCAATGAGCATTTCCAAGTTGGGGCGATAATTGAAAATTTTCTAACTTCATGGAATGACTTCAAAATTTATCTTAAGCACAAGCGTCATGAGATGAATATAAAGGATTTGATCCTAAGGCTACAAGTGGAAGAATACCACAGAAAGGTAGACTGTTCTGAAGGGTTTGCTGCCATTAAAGCCAATGCAAATTATGTTGAAGGAGGAAACTCCAAGGCTAAGCCGAAGAAGAATAAGGCTCCTAAAACCAAGCAGTTTGTACAATCTGCCCTTGCTCCCAAAGGCAAGAATCTGAAAAAGATTAAGGGCGCATGCTATATGTGTGGCAAATCTAGTCACAGGGCACAAGATTGTTATCATCACAAGGATGGAAATCATGCCAACGGAAACAACAACAACCATGCTAACATGGCAACCACCAATGAAGAATTGGCTGCTGTTGTGTTCGAGGTCAACATGGTCTCAAATGTGAGTGAATGGCTATTGGATACTGGTGCTACTAAGCACATATGAGCTGACAGAAATCTATTCACTGAAAACCATCCTGCTGCCCATGGAGAAAAGCTGTATATGGGCATTCTTCCTCATCTGCGGTGAAGGGTAAAGGCAAAGTGGTACTCAAATTTGAAGGAAATGTTGTGAAAAACATGTTCATTTGAGCAACATCTATGACATGCAATTAACATTTAAAGGCCGAATCATGCTTGTATGCACTCAAAAACAAAACATTACTCATGAAATTCAAAGCCTAGTAGAAAGGTGAACCAAGACTCAACTCAAGAACATAGTGAGTTGAGATATTTTATACCTTTGTTGATTCCTCTTTGCATAAGCAAAGGCTAATCACCCAAGGAGAGGGCCTTCATTCCTTGCTTCTTAGTTCCATCGATTTCTTGGAGGAGGATGCTAGAAAGGATTCTCCAAGTTCCCAAAATTGAGAACCTCTAATTTTCCACACCAAGGAGGGACTTAAAGAAGAGATGAGTGACCTTGGAGGATGAGAGATTGCTAGCTAATCTCCTCCAAGGGGGCTGGCCTCTTAGAGAGAAAAAGAGAGACATGTTCTCTCCAATTTTCTCCAAAAGAAACCCTAATGAAGAAAAGGTTATAAAGTCATATTTATACCAACCTTCATTGGAGTGGCAAACTTGTAATAAGTCCAAAACCCACTCCTTTATCAATATGGCAGGCCATAGGGTGTTATTGGTCTGTTTGGGCCTTTGTGAATATTTAATCATTAACTTGTCATACAACTTAAGTCAATAGGCTTGACGTTCGAAGCCCATTGGGCCTTGAGGCCCAAAACTAACCCAAGGTCTTTAACGAACTTTATTCGTTTGATTAATTAACATATTAATTAATCCTTGTCATAAATAATTAAACCATTTAATTATCCTTACTCATCTCCGTTGTTTCTTCAATCTCTACCTTACACGGTGTACGATCCACTAGGTTCCTTTTAACGAGGCAGTGGGCGATTAGAACCCTTTCAAATCGATTGTGAATTGAAACTTACTTTCAATTCTCCCTTTAGTGTTTATACACGTTTAGGGCTTCCACAAACCATGAGTGACACCTAGCAGTATGTCATGGTTACCCAAGCTAATCAGAAGAGGTGGAGAACCTATTCAGTTTAGGATTACAATGCAACACGGTCTTTCTCTAATACAATACTCTTGACCACATTGTTTGGTTTGATAGTTTATTCATGTCTACTATCCAATGTGATTCATTTACTTGTATGATTACTTTGAATGTGATTTGAACGACTTCCTAAATCTCATTTATACTCTGGCCAGAGATTCTTAATCATATCATAGAGTATTCTCCCTCAAACGGTTTGAGGGTTAGAGATCCTTTGTTGCGCATTCACTTGCCTCCATGGCTAAGTGGCTTAACCCCAACTATGCCGTCGACACCCTCTGATAGAGTGATTTTGACATAGTCAAAGATCAAAGACCTTACTACAAGACAACTATGATGCCTCAGGTCGAAGGACTACTTTGCATTATCCCAACCATGAGTTCTCATGTGACATGAGTATGAGAACTCCTCGTTGATCGTGTTCAGTGGACTCATTCTCTATTGAGCACCTACATGCTTATCTTGGTGTCAATCACACCAATGACTTAAGACCAGTCACTCTCCCTGAGAGAAGACACAACACGTACTGATCTTAACGGACTGTCAACGCCCAATTGGCAACCCTATGATCAGGAACGTTTAGGATATGTATACGAAAGAGAATGGTCTCATGAATCTAACTTCTTTAAATTACATTCTCCTAATTACATATTCCTTGGACTTATCGTTTAAGCATATAACATTTATATGAGACGGCTTAAAACAATAATCTTTGCCCTTGATATTAAACTAGATTAGTTTAACATGTGAAATGTCCGTAAAGTATCATCATATGATTGGTTTTAGGGCACATTTCCAACAAAATTCACATCTGGAAAGAGTCTCACATTGTTGAATGTGCTGCATGTTCCTAAAATAAGGAGGAACTTGGTTTCTGGACCTATTTTGATTGCTAAGGGCTTTAAACTTGTAATGGAATCCAACAAATTTGTACTTACCAAGGGTGGGATGTTTGTTGGAAAGGGTTATGTGGCTGATGGCCTTATGAAACTCAATGTAATTGCCATTGATGATGCTGATAAAATAAATGCTTCTACTTATATTGTTGAGTCTTCTAATATTTGGCATACTAGATTAGGACATGTTAATTTTCATTCCAGCAAAGAATGGTTAAATTAGAATTATTACCTAAATTCGAAATTGATTGTAATCATAAGTGTGAAACATGTATTGAATCGAAATTTGCTAGGCAAACGAGAAAGTCAATTCTGAAAAGATCAAATGAATTACTTGGATTAATTCATAGCGATGTTTGTGACTTTAAATCCACACCAACTCGTGGAGGAAAGAATTATTATGTCACTTTTATTGATGATTGCAGTAAGTATTGCTATGTTTATTTGATTCATAGCAAGGACGAAGCTTTGAATATGTTTAAGACATATAAAGCCGAAGTTGAAAATCAACTTGAGAGAAAAATCAAAGCACTTAGATCCGATAGAGGAGGAGAGTATGAGTCTATTGCCTTCTCAGATTTTTATGCACAACATGGAATTATACATCAAACAACGGCTCCATACACACCACAACAAAATGGTGTTGCCGAAAGAAAAAATAGAACATTCAAAGATATAATTAATTCCATGTTAAATAGTTCAGGGCTTCAACACAGTTTGTGGGGTGAAGCTTTACTTACTGCAAAGACCATATTGAATAAGGTTCCTCTAAAGAAGATTGACGAGTCACCTTATGACTATGGAAAGGACATAGACCCACTTATAAAACCCTCAAAGTGTGGGGTTGCTTAGCAAAGGTGCAAGTTCCGTTACAAAAAAGAACGAAACTAGGACCTAAAACTGTTGATTGTGTATTCATTAGATATGCAAATAATAAAGCTGCTTATAGGTTCCTTGTTGTAAAATCTTCGATTTCTGAGATACATGTCAACACTATATTAGAATCAGCGGATGCAGAATTCTTTGACGATATATTTCCTTACAAAGAAAATGAATGTGGTTCTTATACAAAGAGGGTTCATGATCATAGTCATGATGAAGCCTCTTCATCTTGTGTCCAAGGAAATGATGTGGAACCAAGAAGAGGAAAAAGAATCAAAGTTTCTAAAAACTTTGGACCAGATTTCATTGCTTTCTTGTCCGAGAATGAACCTAGAACTTTTAAAGAAGCAATGTCTTCTTCTGAGGCTCCTTTATGGAAGGAAGCAATTAAAAGTGAAATTGGAATCCATTATGGAAAATAACACATGGGAATTGGTTGATTTACCTCCCGGTAGTAAACCAATTGGTCATAAATGGATTTTCAAGAAGAAACTTAAGGCAGATGGAACCATTGATAAGTTCAAGGCACGTTCAGTAGCCAAAGGTTATCGCCAAAAAGAAGGGTTAGATTATTTCGACACCTATTCTCCAGTTTCTCGCATAACGTCAATTAGGACGTTAATAGCGATTGCGGCTGTATACAACTTTGATATACATCAAATGGATGTAAAAACAACATTTTTAAATGGAGAACTAGATGAAGAAATATACATGGAACAACCTGAAGTGTTCGTGCTTAAAGGACAAGAAAGCAAAGTGTGCAAATTAGTTAAGTCATTATATGGACTTAAACAAGCACCAAAACAATGGCACGAGAAATTTGATCATACTTTGTTGACAATTGGGTTCAAAATAAATGAATCTGATAAATATGTCTTTATTAAGAGTAATGATAAAACTTGTGTTATTGTTTGCTTGTATGTGGATGATATACTCATAATGTGAAGCGATAAAGATGTAATAAACAAAACAAAGAAAATCTTGAATTCAAGTTTTGACATGAAAGACTTAGGTCAAGCCGATGTCATTTTAGGAATTCAAATTAAGAGAAATAGTGAAGGATATGTCCTTACACAATCCCATTATGCAGAAAAAAAATATTACGAAGGTTTGGTCAATTTGACTGCAAACCTGCTGCAACTCCTTTTGATGCTGGATGCAAGTTGGAGAAAAATAAAGGCGATGCCATATCTCAACTTGAATATTCTCAAGTAATTAGAAGTCTAATGTACTTGATGAATTCAACTAGGCTCGACTTAGCTTATGCAGTAAGTAGGCTTATTAAATATATAAGTAATTCGGCACAAGAGCATTGGTATGCTTTAGTAAGAGTGTTACGGTATTTGAAAAATACACTTGACTACGGATTATACTACACAAAGTATCCACCTGTTATAGAAGGCTTCAGTGATTTCAATTGGATTTCTGACGCTACAGAATCCAAGTCGACAAGTGGATATGTTTTTACCTTAGGAGGTGCAGCAATATCTTAGAAATCTTCTAAACAGAAATGTATAGCTCGGTCCAACATGGAGTCTAAGTTTATAGCTTTAGACTTGGCTGGCGAAGAAGCTGAGTGGCTCAAAATTTTTTTGGAGGATATTCCAATATGGCCAAAGCCGGTAACTGCTATATGTATACATTGTGACAGTATGGCCGTGCAATCAAGGGCCAAAAGTCATGTATACAATGGGAAGTCACGTCACATCAGGCGTCGACATAATACTCTTAAGAAGTTGCTCTCCAATGAATAATATCCATTGATTATGTGAAGTCAAAGGAAAATATAGCCGATCCTTTGACAAAAGGCCTACCAAGAGAGCAAATATTATTTACATCGAGGGGAATGGGTCTCAAGCCAATTCAATGAATCGAATTGGGCGAAAACCTAACCTAGCTGATTAGAGATCCCATGGTCTAGGTTCAATAGGCAAACTGGTTGAGTTTGATTCAAAAGTTGAACACACAACTTACCCATTCCTATGATAAAATGTGTGTTGTCTGTTGATGTTTGAGGGGTTATGCTTTATACATTTAATGACATTAATATCTTGTTATCAAGAGGAATATAGCACACTATTCTTAATTAATGTCACCTATATAGGAGTAAATGGGGCCGCATTTATGAGAATTGACATGGCCAAATTCTCTACAGCTCCTACGAAATCCGGGATCTGTTTAGGGCCGAAATGAACACAACCATATGAATTGACGTGTGGCAGACATGATATGTGTGTAGCATATTGTATCGGTTTACTACTGCGGTGAACAGTTCAAGATCTTCCACATCCACTGCGTCACCAAGTAAACCCGATATGTTTTCACTAGGGTAAGTTCAAGTCCAAAAGACACTTCACCCGATGCATATCATGCCTATTCTCTCTCAGTTTTAGGCAGCCTAGTCATCCATTTGCATTTACATTTGCATTCAAATGTGGGGTAATTGTTGAAGTCGGAATGAAATTTCAACTCAAATGTGGGGTATTGTTGGAAATTTGAGTAAAAATTTCTTTGTCCCACATTGGCCATTCCCAAAAGATTTTATCACTTTATAAGGCTTTGTCCTTTATAGAAAGTGATTGGAGTAATAGGCCTAGAGAATAAAATTGGGCTCACCCTTGGGGTTGGGCTTTGGGGTGCACTAATTAATTGGTAATTAATTATAATTAATATATATATATATATATATATATATATATATATATATATATATATAATTAATTATCAAAAGATGGGCCTTGGGCCTTGGGCCTTGGGCTCTAATAATTCAATTATTTAATTAATTATTTTCGGATTTAATTAATTATTTTTAATTAATTTCAAATTTAATTAATTATTTATTTTTTACCAACAGGCTCATCCTTTCAGATGAAGTCTGAAGAGTTCAGAAAGAATACGGAGCAAAGCACCCCTCTGGAGAAGATGTCTCCCAGACACATCCCATTCTTATACCTGTTGCGAACAAGCATCCTTATATTATATATACATTCATCTGCTTGGCATTTAGGACACAGAAAATCAATATTCTTCTTCTACAATCACAAACATCCTTTCGGAGAGAACCACACAGAAATTCGCTAGAAGTTAAGTTTTTCGATGCTGGAATTCTAACTTTATCGTTGAATCCTGGTGAAGCAGACGTCCGTAGTACTACAAGCACTGAGTAGGGACGAAATTTATGTTTCAAGGACATTGCGGTAAGTAAGCCTCGATCCTCAATTTTTCTGTTTAAATTTATTTCATTGTTCATACTCTGTTCAATATTTATTCGTATTTATTATTTATTAGCATATATAAGTTTATCACAGATTGTTGACATATAACCAACAGTTAATTCCTAGTTTTGTGTATGTGCTTTAAATAATGTTTATTCAGTTATTTCGCATATAGGTGAGACTTATTCTGAGGAAGAGCACCATCAATCAAGGCTCGGGGGCTACGACCCTTTGACATATCAGTGAGTGGGCTTTTGGTTTTCTGTATATACCTATATACTTGAGATTTTTACCAGAAAATGAATTTGAATGATTATACGTTTTGAAATGCCATGCAAAGTATCTGCCTATTTTATTTATGCATTAGTAGTTGCATATAATTATGATTGGTGTTGCGGACACATAGGTAAGTGCCATGTAAGTTCATAAATTAAAGATGTGAGATTACTTCAGTTATGTGAGTTATGATGTGATGTGATGAGAACTCATAAACTTGCACCTGGTGTTAGTGCTCCCACCCAGAGTTAGGGCACAATCCTTCACGTGATATTCATCTTCTGCATCGTATGCTCACCTTGGATCCAAGTTAGGTGCACAGGTTTGTCATACAAACCACTTTAGGTTGTTTCGACTCGTAGGTGACTCGCGATTATTTGCACAGCCTTTACATGATCGTAGCATTAGATTATATTTACTTTAAAACTAGTCTTGTCATATAGACCACTGTAGGTGGTTCCGACTCATGTGCAAGATTTGATTTGATAGGATTGAGATTGGTTATGAGTTATATACTCAGCAATGCAGTTTGAGTTAGAGAGATTTGGCTGATGCAATATTTGACATTTATATATTTTGCCTGGTTTACCTATAGCATTGCATTGAGATACTTTGGCATGGTATACTTTTGTGGATTTTCATCTTGAGTATGATTTCTGATTCAGATTATTATTATTATTATTTTCTAGGAAGTTATACAGGTTTTACGGCGATGGGTTAGAACTTTTGAGAAATGAAATGATTTTGAAAAGCTTTGTTTTTGCCCACTCACACTATCTGTTTTGCGCCCTTCCAGGTTTTAAGTAAAAGTGCTTGGTGGATCACGAGGATTTCGACGGGGGTTCTGACAGAGCATAGTAAATGTAGGATCACCCTCAGGTGTTGTATAATTAGTACTTGTCTTGCTTGACTGCACTTCGGATATTTATGCTCTGGTTGTGTTTTTCATGTTTAATCTCGCACTAGCACTATATCTTAGTTAGTACTCTAGTTAATTTTGTTTTTTTTCATTCGTAATTCCTTATATCTCTTTTGCTTCCGCACTGTGCACATGGTTACGTCACTCTCACGTGACGGCCATCATGCCTCGATCAAGGTCCGGGTGTGTCAATTGGGGTGTTGATGAAACCGATGAGAAGCAACGGATTTATGTGGATGGGCTTTTCAAGCAAAGTTTCCAGCAATGGAAGTTTGATGTGTTGCGGGCGAGGGAGGATTGAAGTTGATAAGGGTTGTTTTTTTATTTTTATTTTTAAATAAGATTTTGTGGACTTTATATTTAATTTAATGAATAAATATATGTTATGTGGATAAGTATTAATATTTGTCTTAATTATAACTTCTGTTTGGGATAGTAAATTAGTTTTGTTAATTAATTTAATGTTTATTTAGGTTTGAGTTTTTTATTTATAATAAAATAAAAAATTTACAATACATACAAATAAAAAAGAAAAACATAATTTTTTTTTTAAAAATATGCATTGCGCGACGATTCATTCTTTTATCGTGCAATGTGTTGAAAAGAATAAATTGTAAAGTAAAGGAAATAAAATTAAAAAATGGTAAAATTGTGTGACGAAAGTTTCATTTGTGCGACGAAGATCATCTTAGTGGCACAATGTGTGTTTGTGTGACAAATACCTTGTTCGTCGCAAAATCGTCATCTTTCTGAATCTGAATTCAGCCATGTGCAGAGGCAAACTGCAAAAAAAATTGCAGATTGTGCCTCTACACTCATCCCTTCGATTTTGCTCAATCCTGCATTCGTCATTTCCATTTTCTCTCAATTTCATCATCTAATACTCCCTCCATCTTCTTCTCTAGGTTGATTGAGCTATCTCGGTGTGTCCGGTAAGCGTTTTTTATCGTTAGGGTAAATGTATTAATGTAAATTCATGCTAACACCATTAATTTCGTTGTCTATAGGGATATTGTGTATGATTAGTGATTGGTGGAGAACGATTGAGAAGGTATTTTCTTCGTTTTGTATTGGACATATAAATTAATTAAATTATGTTGAACTTAGTTTGTTATGTTTATGTTGTGTTGTTAAATTATATTTATATTATGTTGTTAAATTTGTGTTGTGATGTACAAAGTTAATTGAAATTAACTTCGTACTTGTTTTTTATTTTTAGTAAAACTTAGTTTCCCATTAGAGGATATGTTGGATTTCATGCATGGATGCGAAAGCATGACTACGGTCCAATTAATTCTTGAATTGTCCCATTATTTGGACAGTTTGGGAATGCACAGTTATGACACGTAGTTTATGGTTAAAGGATTAGGTTTCAGTTGTGGAGATTTTAGTGTCATCTTTGTACGTTCTTCAGGCTATACACCTGAAGAACTGTATCAAGATGCTACAGAAATTCATCCACATTGAAACCTAATTTGATGTAGCCGTAAATTACGTGACATGACTATGCATTCCCGAATGGGATAAGGCCCTTACCGTAGGCATAAGGTGACATTATAATTTTGAATGAAGTTGTTGTGATTGTTGTATTGTTATTCTGGTTCTAGGAATTATGGACAGGACGTGGATACAGAACCCGAATAGATGCGCGGATGAATACTTGGATGGAATCGAGGATTTTATTGACTTTGCACGTACACACAACTCGGGTGCAACTAGAATCCGATGTCCTTGTAGGAGGTGTAACAACACGTTAAGGGAGACAATTGAAAATGTTCGACTTCATTTAGTAAGGGATGGAATGATTGAGACATATAATACTTGGAACCATCATGGGGAACAGTTAGACAATACTTCGTCTTCAAATGCCATAAGAGTGGACAATGTTGAACCTATTGTGGATCCGAATGAACAAGTCATGGATATTATAAATGATGCTTTTCCATTTGTAATGACAAACACCAATTAGGAAGGGGAAGATGACGTGCCTACACTAAGGGATAGTACAGAGTTCGAACATTATGAAAAACTATTAAAAATGCCAACCAAGAGTTATACCCGGGATGCGAGAGCTTTTCCGTTCTCACGACCATTGTGGAACTAATGAACGGAAAAATAAAGCATCGTATGTTGAACCAATGTTTCGATTACTTTTTGGGGGTTTTCAAGAGAAAGCTTCCAAAAGACCATAGACATGCGCAAAAGGTGTTGAATGGTCTTGGATTGTGTTATGAAAAAATTCACGCTTGCAAAAACAATTATATTTTATTCTACAAAGAGAATAAAGCATTGGATAAATGCCCTGTATGCAATGAGTCGAGGTTCAAAATGACATCTTAGAATAGAATGACTAAGATCCCATAAAAAGTCATGCATTATCTGCCCCTGAAACCTAGGTTGCAACGATTGTATATGTCAACGCATACTGCCATGTACAAGAGATGGCATAAGGAAAAGTGGGTTGATGAAGATGTCCTAAGGCATCCTGCAGATGGAGAGGCATGGAAAGAGTTCGATCGAACGTTCCCTGATTTTAATGCTGATTCTCGTAACGTTAGATTGGGACTTGCCACTACGGATTTAATCCGTTTGGGGTTTTAAACCAACACCATAGTACTTGGCCGATTTTCGTATTTTCGTATAATTTGCTGCCATGGAAATGTATGTAAAAAGAATACATGATGATGAATTTATTGAAAATTGAGGATCCTGGTAGGTCAATCGATGTATACTTACAGCCGTTGGTGGATGAGCTAAAAGATTGATAGACACACGGTGTGCGCACATACAATAAATGTACTGGCAGTGATGTGGACTGTGAATGATTTCCATGCATATGCAATGGTTTCCTTGTGGAATACTAAGGGTTATATGGCATGCCCTTTGTGGAATACTAGGGGTTATATGGCATGCCCTATATGCAAGGAAGACGTAACATCTAGTTGGCACGCCGGAAAAGTGTGTTACCTTGGTCATCGGAGATGGTTGCCTTGGAACCAAGAGTGGTAAGAGAAGGATAAAGAGTTTGACGGGGAGAAAGAGCATCGCCTTAGACCCAGAAAATGGTCCGGTGATCAGATTTTGGAACAACTTGACCATTTGGATTTTGCTCATTTCGGGACCAATGTTAGTAGGACCAGACTTTCTACACATATGAATTGGAAGCACATGTCTATGTTTTTTGAGCTTCTGTATTGGTCCAAACTAAAATTGAGACACAACCTTGATGTTATGCATGTTAAGAAAAATGTATTTGACACATTGGTCGGCACAATTCTAGATATTGAGGGCAAGACAAAGGACACGATCAAAGCTCATCTTGATTTGGAATGAATGGGAATACGATGTGGTTTATGGATGAATAGGGACAATGAAACCGAATGACAAGAAAGAATTTTTAAAGTTTTTATCATCTATAAAGTTTCTTGATGGGTATGCATTAAATATCGTGCGTTGCGTGAACGTTGATGAGGGTAAATTAGCTGGCCTAAACAGTCATGACTGGCATGTGGTTCTACAATGCCTTCTTCCTGTGGGTATTCAACATCTTTTGCCATCTGATGTAATGAAACCAATCATGTTGTTGTCCAGTTTTTTTTCGCAATTGACGTCAAGAACGTTGCGAAAAATGGATATTAATCAGTTGCACCATGAAATTGTGCAAGTTCTTTGCAAGTTTGAGATGATATTTCCTCCAGCTTTCTTCACAAGTATGATACACGTGATGGTTCACTTACCAGAGGAGGCATTACTTGCTGGACCAGTCAACTTTCGATGGATATATCCAATAGAAACGTATATATTCCTCATCTTTTTTATTAATCAATATTAAATATATTACGATTAATAATATGTGTATCATATCGTTTTATTTTGGCAGGCTTCTCGGAGACTTGAAGAAAAGTGTACGAAACAAAATGAAGCCAGAATGATCTATTATACAAGCTTGGGTGGCATATGAGGTGCTTACATTTTGTGGAATGTATTTAAAGGATGTTGAGACAACTTTCAATTGTCCTCCTCGTAATAATGACGGGGGTGTTAGAAAGGAGAAACTTCTAGCTTTTGCCCAAATCGCTAGACCATTCGGAGATCCGATGCGAGTTGTTTCCAAGAAGGACATGGAGGTAGCACATTAGTTCATACTCAACAATTGTGACGAGACACTGTCATACCTAGACGAGCATGAAAATATGATGAAGCAAGCACATCCTTCACATTTGTATGCCAAGAAACACCGTGAATTGTTTCCGCAGTGGTTTCTCGAATATGTAAGTTTGGAGTGTTTTGTATTGGACATATATATTGTACCAATTAATTTTCTCGAACTAAAAAATTTAAATGTTTGTCAAATATTAGGTGAATCGACTGAAAGCATCGAATTCCCCAGCGTCAAGTGAAGAGTTATATAACTTGGTGTTTGGACTGATTCGCATTGAATTGTACTCGGGTTGCCATGTCAACGACGTCAAGTTCTTAGCAAGTGCACGAAATGACAAGTTATGTACGCAAAACAGCTGTGTTCATGTCCTCAAGGATGGCAAAAGTACAGACATTGAATTCTATGGCAAACTAACAAGTGTCGTGCAATTGCTTTACAAAGACCGGTGCCAAGTGATCTTATTTAAGTGTCGATGGTTTGATACAAACCCTAATAAGCAGGGAAGTGTGAAAAGAGATCATGGATTACTATTAGTGAACACTACCAAAACTTGGTACGATGACGACCCTTACATCTTAGCAACCATGGAAAAACAAATTGTGTATCTAGATGACCCTAAAACTGGGAGGGTTTGGAAAGTTGTTGAGAAGATGGATCATAGGAACATGTATGCTATACCAGAGCAAGGCCGTATTGAAGATGACATTGACAATGATGCTGACCAATGTCTTGAATCTTCAATGGAAAGTGGTGCAGAAACACTCCGAAATACTAATCTTATCCAAGAACCATTTCAGATAGAAGAAGTATCTTCAATCAAAATACCAATTCAGTCGATCACAATTGACCTTGGTCATCTTGCACAGTATGATGGTCCAGTGCACACAAACAACGATGGTGACATAACTATCGATGACGAGGAATGGGACACTGAAAATGATGATAGCGACGAAAGTGAAAGTTATTATAGTTCGGATGGAGATTAAGGCAATTTATTTGTAACTTTTTTTGTAAAACACATGAAATGGTTAATGCATTAAGTAGAGTGATGAAAAAAAATGGTATGAATGATTCCCATTTTATATGTGAATTACTTTGTAAATAAATTTGTTTTATTTGTATTTTATAATAAATTATAAACATAATAAAAAAAAAACTAATTTAAAACATAACTGCGTGACGCATAAAAAATTTTTGGTTGCGCAAGCATTTTTATTTTACACGGGATTATTGAATTTTTAGACACTTGTGCAACGAATACATATATTTCATCGCACCACTTTTTTTTTGCGTGGAAATTTAAAAAAACTTGCATGACGATTGTTTAGCCTTGCGAGACAAAGCCTGCATTGCGCAAGATTCTATATTATTAACCTCATGTGATACCCTCTCTTTCTTTCCTCCCTATCTCTGTCGGCTCTCCTTCACTCACCTCGTCTCTCCGTCCATCTCTCAAGCTGTCGCCACTTCTTCCTCCAAGAGGTAATTTCCTCTTCAATTTTGTTGGAAATGTGCCCTAAAACCAATCATATGATGATACTTTACGGACATTTCACATGTTAAACTAATCTAGTTTAATATCAAAGGCAAAGATTATTGTTTTAAGCCGTCTCATATAAATGTTATATGCTTAAACGATAAGTCCAAGGAATATGTAATTAGGAGAATGTAATTTAAAGAAGTTAGATTCATGAGACAATTCTCTTTCGTATACATATCCTAAACATTCCTGATCATAAGATTGCCAATTGGGCATTGACAGTCCGTTAAGATCAGTACGTGCTATGTCTTCTCTTAGGGAGAGTGACTAGTCTCGAGTCATTGGTGTGATTGACACCAAGACAAGCATATAGGTGCTCAATAGAGAATGAGTCCACTGAACACGATCACAGATGAGTTCTCATACTCATGTCACATGAGAACTCATGGTTGGGATAATGCAAAGTAGTCATTTGACTTGAGGCATCATAGTTGTCTTGTGGTTAGGTCCTTGATCTTTGACTATGTCAAAGTCACTCTGTCAGAGGGTGTCCACGGCATAGTTGGGGTTAAGCCACTTAGGCATGGAGGCAAGTGAATGCGCAACAAGGGATCTCTAACCTTCAAACCGTTTGAGGGAGAATACTCTATGATATGATTAAGAATCTCTGGCCAGAGTATGAATGAGATTTAGGAAGTCGTTCCAAATCACATTCAAGGTAATGATATAAGTAAATGAATCACATTGGATAGTAGACATGATTAAACTATCAAACCAAACAATGTGGTCAAGAGTATTGTATTAGAGAAAGACCGTATTGCATTGTAATCCTAAACTGAATAGGTTCTCCACCTCTTCTGATTAGCTTAGGTAACCGTGTCACTCATGGTTTGTGGAAGCCCTAAACGAGTATAATCCCTAAAGGGAGAATTGAAAGTAAGTTTCAATTCACAATCGATCGTTAAGAGTTCTAATCGCCCATTGCCTCGCTAAAAGGAACCTAATGGATCGTACACCGTGTAAGGTAAAGATTGAAGAAACAACGGAGATGAGTAAGGATAATTAAATGGTTTAATTATTTATGGCAAGGATTAATTAATATTTTAATTAATCAAACGAATAAAGTTCGTTAAAAGACCACAGGTTAGTTTTGAGCCTCAAGGTCCAATTGGCTTCGAACGTCAAGCCCATTGACTTAAGTTGTATGACAACTTAATGACTAATAATTCACAAAGGCCCAAACAACCCAATAACACCCTATGGCCGGCCATATTGATAATGGAGTGGTTTTGGACTTATTACAAGTTTGCCACTCCAATGAAGGTAG